AACATGTGCAGTCATATAATCCCACACATGTACTTGTAGTTGAATACTTGAATTTTATTTGTATATATTTTCATTTCTTTTGTATATATTTTCATTTCTATTAATGAATAAATGTATGGGTTATTAACTATGTAGGTAATTTATAAATTGGTCAACATATTTGCAGAATTGTGTTAGTACTTGAAAATGTTTTTTTATGCATTTGTGGATCTGTGTAGAGATTTATAACTTGTACTGCAACACTATTATCTCCATAATTTTTCTCCCAGAAATGACATATATATTTCTGAATTCTTCTTTTTTATTGTAACTCAAACTTTTATATTTTCTCTCCATTGACTTTATGTCAGTTTATCTCACTTATAAAGTACATATATGAGACACCTTTTCTTCTCTCCTGTAGATTTGTCTTGTCTTGTTGGTCTTGAGAAAGGCCTCTAAAGGGTTTAGTCATATGTAATAAAGTGTGCTTTCAGCACAGGTGATGTTATTCTGAGTCAGAATCAGGTGGAAGGGTGTGTTAACTTATTAGTAACTACAAAGTGTCTTGCTGAATGAACTCAAATGGACCAGTACTAATTTAAATCTTCTTTCTGTCATGTGAGAAAAGAACTGACCTCAGCACTCCTCTCTCCTCTGCGACCTTCACTCCCTCACTTTTCATTACCTCCTCCCTCTCCTCCTCTGTGCTAGTGTCAGTCTGGTGGGCAGTGATGATTAAATTGACCAGATAAGTTGACCTCTGTTTGTTTAACCAAACACCAGCTGATAAAAATGTACAGTAGTCAGTCCAGCTCCCTTCTTAAAAAAAAAAAAAAAGGTTTCTCTCTCTCTCCGGGAGTAGATAAAGCATCCACGCTCACTTTGTCGAGGTGAGTTAGCTGCAGTAAATGTTTTGGTTTTGCCAGCAGTTCGGATCACTTGTTAGGCCGAGGGGGCGAATTTCAACATGTCCTCAGAGGAGGATTGCGGCTGCCAGTGGCCCCCTCCCTCCCTCCCTCCCTCCCTCCCTCTCTCCCTCTGACAGACTGTTTATGAGGAGGTGATGAGCGGGGAGTGAGATAGAGGGAGAACACACATTGTTGCAGTGGAAACAGGATGGGATATGAGGCGTGTTGTCAGGCCCGAGTCATTTCTGAGTGACTCAAGTTTTGGTGAATTTCATGCTTTAGTTGAAAAGTCTTTTTTTTAATCCACTCAAACAAACTGGAAAACTAGAGTTAATACATTTGACGAAACAATTTTTTTTTACTGCTAGTGTTTTGAGAGAGGTACTTTCCAGATAAGTGAGACGAAGGACTGGCTGCTTGTATTGTTTGGTCTACTCCATACTAGTGTTTGCCCAGGCATATTTGAACAGCAAGATTTTTCAATTGTTTTCACTGCAGGAGAGTTCAGAGCAAATAAGGAGTCCTTTTGAATGTAGATGAATGTATATGCACTCTGTGAGTAGTTACACACACTAAGATTGTTTTTCTCATAGTCCACTGCACAGCTCCTACATTGCACCTTTTGTACATTTTGTGTTTTTTATATTTTATATCTTACATTTTACATAAAGTCTATTTTATATATTGTAATAGCTTCTTATAGTGTACTATTTAAGTTGTTGCTAGTTCTGCTTTATTTCCTTGTTAACTGTTTAGCACCAATACACCAAGTCAAATTCCTTGTGTGTGTAAATGTACTTGGCAATAAACCCCGATTCTGATTCTGATTTTGAAAAGTTCCATTTGTGAAATATGCTTATTCTCCTGTCTTGACAAGAGTCAGGGACACTTAATACGAAGCCCAAAGAGAAAAAAATGGGATAACAGCAAGCCTGTCTGGATATAGGCAACAAATGCTAGCTAGCAAGATACTTAAAAGAGACTTAAATAAATCTTAATTAAACTAATAGTAATAATTATTATCTTAACTTAAATGAACATACATTAAAAACATAAATGATTTTATATCTGCTTAATTCGTACAAAAACATCACTGAATAATAAGGTGTTATCTCTGCCGGCCTGTTTCCAGTTTATGCGCTTGCTTCATCTACATTAAACAGACATGAAAGTGGCATCAAACTAGATGAACCTCGTTTCCCAAATGTTTCCCAGGTTTTTGCAGTATTTATAACGTATTACTGTTTTAAATTTTTACAGTATAACACCTGCTTTAATCAAGGTGAAAACATCCTCTCTGTTCGTATAAAACATGTTGTCTCTGGATGTCAAACCTGGGACATCACTTTTCATTTTCCACAACAAACACACGTAGCTCTAAAACACGATGACATCACAGTGGGTGTGCTCACAAAGTTGGATTGGACTTGTACTTTGTCTCTGGTTTTGCTTCAACAGGCCTCCTCCAACAGCCGAGGTTACCCAATGTGTGACTAGCGCTAAACTCTGCGCCCTAATCCCTTTATGATTTTCTGTGTGAGCAAAGTTTACATAAACCAGCCAAGTGTTTTATAACACTGTTGACCCCCTCTCTTTTCCTTTCTTGTTCTCAATGCTTTGATTCTGTGTGGGAACGTCTGACCTTGTGAGTCGGTGTTTTGAGACACTCTGTGCTGTTCACAGCTGAAAAACATTTGGTGTGGCCGTGACTACTGATTAAATGACTCTAGAAGTAGAAAGGCAAGACGCGCATGCAGAAAACAACCCTACATTTTCATGTCTGGAAACAAACACTGTAGGGCCTCTACAGTCACAGTGGGACTATGTGGCCCTGATTCTTCATATATCTGTCTGTCAGTCCATGTAACCACTACAATCCTCTGTGGAATCTTAGATGCTGTTTACATTACTGAATGATTACCTGAACCAAGGCCTCTACATCCAAGTTCACTGGAAACTGCCGGCCCTTGGGGGCCATCTTGGCTCTTGCTTCTTGTCATCACAGGGGCAAGACAATTGATTCCTTGGGGATAATTGTACCTTTCCTTTTCATATAATGCTGACTGGAGGATGTCTGTTTATCATACTATAGATGAAGATATTCAATGTTGACCTAAATGGATTCATTCATTTATTGATTCATTTATTGGTTGATAAGTCAATCAAGGGAAATTATTCACCAAAGAATTGATCAATGTTTTGTCATGATTTTTCAAGCAAAGATTGTTGAGAATTTAACCCCTCTGTTACAACTTATGCAGACTGGAGGATATCAGTATTTTCATGCGTTAGTTGAAAATGAAAATATTGTAGTTTGAGCTGCATTATCGAATGAATTAACGGATTTACCGATTAGTAGATGAAGTGGCTACTTAGGTTGCTATGTTCTTTTCAACACATTTCATGTTCTACGATTACAACTTTCGCTTCCACCAGCTTCAAATTGTAAATGGGTTAATTTAATCTAGCATCAACAAACTCAGGAAACAAACTCACATGACTGATTTCCTAGACAAAATCTCTGAGTCTGTTCATGTTCAGGTGATGCATCAAAGAGAGAATATTTTCGCCTGGACTCTTGAGATGCTCTCATGATTAGATTGTAGAAGTATGTACGGGGGCCTTTTGTCTTTGTGAGGGTGTGTATGAAAACAGACGTCTGTGATGGAGTGGTATAGAGCCTGGTACCTAGTTGCACATAACCTGTAAGGAATATACTGTATACATATTCTGAAATACATTTTTTCCTGTTGGTATGGCTCATTCTTTTGTCATGATTTACCTAAAAGAAGAAAATAATCCAGCCTTAAATTAGAGGGTTGACTTGTGAGAGGAGTTTTAATTTGATGGCACAATGACTTTACTGCAAAGGTACATTTTTTATGTCTGTATCCATTGTCTATGTCTCATATCAGTGCCTGTAAGGGAGGCAGCTGCTCCTTCACAAGCTACACTAACTGCTTGACTGACCATTTTACACTTTCCACTGCTCTCCACTCCCAGCAAAATGTCAGTTCAACCAGCATCTTGTGAAGACAAGTCTGAATGAACTGAAGTCTGAATGAATGAAAAAAAAAGGTTAAATTCTGCCCTTTGACTTCACTACTATATGCAATTGTGTCCCACCTACAGCGGGTCATGTGTCACACACACACTGTAAACAAGACTGTCTGCACCTTCTGCCTACAAAGTGGAGCTAATAAATCTTGTGCTGACAGTAAATAGAGTGTCCAAGCACAGGGCCGTGCAGGGAGTTATCCCTCCACTTCAAAGTTGTGTGGTGGGTTTAAAGGTGCTGATGTAGGGGGTGGACAAAAAGATCAGGTCTGATCACTGCAAGGCTAGTGTGTGTGTGTGTGTGTGTGTGTGTGTGTGTGTGTGTGTGTGTGTGTGTGTGTGTGTGTGTGTGTGTGTGTGTGTGTGTGTGTGTGTGTGTGTGTGTGTGTGTGTGTGTGTGTGTGTGTGTGTGTGTGTGTGTGTGTGGTGTGGAGAGGGGGTTGTTTGGTGTCCAGACTTGTCACAGGTCATGCTCTGACTGCTCTCTGACCCTCTGACTTAGCTAGCATTAGCTGCAGTTTGGCTCTTGACTGCCAAAACAGCATTAGAGAAATACAAAATTTTAACATGAACAATTGTATTCAATTGAAACTGAACAATTGTATTCAGTTTCCATATGTTGTAATACTCTTTACTATGTATAAAAAAAGAAAAAAGGCTAAAATGTGTGATGGAAAAATACTTTTTGACGTTAAGCTAACGTTTTTTTAGCTGCTAGCACTTCACTGTTGCTGTTTCCTTATATAGGTCAGATTTGAATTTCACTCAAATCAGATCTTTGCCACTCTAAAACGGAACAGTAAGTGCTCACAATGAAAACCTGACAGCACATTATAGGCTGTTTCTGAAGCATTTCAGATACTGCCATGAGTATCAGAACAACTCTTAACTTTTCTGTATTTAGCTCGGAAAGATTATTGTAATCCTCTTCCTTTTTATGTTGCTGTTACTGTCTCTCTGTTTTAATACCTAACACCGTGATGGACTGATATAATCTTATCATCCTAACCTGTCTGTGCCTTTCTTTTTGTCTGTGTGTGTGTGTGTGTTAAGGCTTCTCACAGGAGCGCCCAAAGAGAAAGCCAATTCTCTACAAAATGTCGATGAAACTGGGGCCGTCTACTCCTGCCCCATCACAACGGACACTACCGACTGCACCCGAATGGACCTGGTCAGCACGAGTATGTAACACTCAAGAATGACTATAGTTTTGAGATTTAAAAAGGGAATGCAGGGGTTGAAGTATTATTTGTTTCTGTGGTTATTTCTTAGTGTGAACCTGAGATACACAGTAGTAATGGAATCTGCCTCCAAGCTGACTGACTGACTGACTGACTGACTGACATAGTCTACATCTATGCTAGCTGTTCTATGTGGCTTCACATATGCACAGTGGTGTATTGCTAATGGACACATGCTAACGTTCTCACAATGGTAACATGATGAGGCAGGAATTTGTTACAATGAACAAAAACATAAAACTGTGTTAAACTGAAAAGTCTTAAGTTTTGCAGATTTGTCCCAAACTAGACTGGACAAAAAAACGTTTCTTGCTTTTTGTTTCCCTAAAGTTGAATTTAAAACTTTGAAGTAGTGGAAAATTAGATATCCTTTCTGGAGGTTAAAGTCCAAAAAATATTCTCCGTTTCCCATGAGTCATCCATCAGTATTTTCTCTCTGAGGGACGGTGGGTTCGCTGCTCAGCCTCACGACTGGCTTGAAACGACTCTTTTCTCTGAAAGACAGAGCTCCTAAACAGGAGTTTTTTTTGTTATTATTTTTAGTGTTTCTTTGAGATTTTACCAAACTTTTCCTCCCATATAGACTCTCAGAGAGTGCACATGGGATTATTCTTGAAGGATCACTTAGTCAGTTTGACACTGTGCTGACGGAAGTGAAATTTCTACACACGGACAGACTTGAGGACTCTACAGGGTCTGTTAATGAGTTGTTTTTAACCCTAACTAACCTGTCTCACGACGGTCTAAACCCAGCACACGTTCCCTATTAGTGGATGAACAATCCAACGCTTGGTGAATTCTGCTTCACAATGATGGGAAGAGCCGACATCGAAGGATCAAATGGATAGACCGGGTCTTTGTAATATAGCAATAAGTAAGGTCTTTTTACCTGCTTTTTGTAACATAACAATGAGTAAGGTCTTTTTACCTGCTTTTTGTAACATAACAATGAGTAAGGTCTTTTACCTGCTTTTTGTAAAGTGTCTTGAGATAACACTTGTTATGAGTTGACGCTATAAAAATAAAATTGAATTGAATTGAATTGAATTGAAATTGAATTGTTTGTTACACCTATTAAAGGAGAATTGACCACACTTGTGTAGATAACTTTTTTTCAAACTTGTAATTGAGGCTTAAGTTTGAAAAAAAAAATCTGCTTCCCAAGAAAAGGAATAGCCAAACCATTTGTGACTGTTCAGGGTTACTTTCTAGGACTTGTAATACGTTACTCCAAAGCCACAGGCAGTTTCCCTTTAACAGATAGAACTTTTGAGAACTTGTAGCTAAGAGAGCAACTTGATGCTAAGCTAGCTAGCTTCCTCTTTATTCACAAGACAAAGCATGTGTGTGAAGCATTTTCTCACTAATCCCCTGCATGTCCTATAATACACTCCACCCACATATTGAGCTCCAGGATACATAACTCTGAAAGTGCGTCCTTCCTTAATTAAAGGTTATTAACTGATAGACTTACTGCTTACTTACCTGCAGGTGAATAGGCCCTCCGGAGGCTAAACGTAAGACCTGTAATAAAAGGATTGCTCATTACTTTTGATGTTGAGGTTGGAGTGACTATAGCTTCAGTCACAGCACATATTTGTGGTTAATATTTGTCAGGGCTTGATGCAGCCTGAATGAGGCTTTACTGTTTGGGTTTGTTTCCCTGTGACTATAATATATACCATTTGAAATGTTTTCTTCAAATTACATTTAAATCAAAAACTTAAAATGTCGAGTATAGCGATCTTTTTCTGTAGTGCACTTCATATAGTAACCTTTTTACCCCTTACATGTAACCTACAGCAAACCCCTCTGAGATGGTGGAGGGCATGTGGCTGGGTGTGACCGTGGCGAGTCAGAGAGACCAGCCGGGGGGACGCATGCTGGTGAGATGACATTCTGTTTTACTTTATTAGTTAGTGTCACAGGTGGCCTATTATTCTTCTAGTAAGACAGAGGGGATGCAGGGTGTGATGAAAACATTTTATTTCTAATGTCACAGATGACAGAGTGTGCGTGTCGCAATATTTATTACTTCATACTGTAACCGTATGCTTTCATTTCAAGTCATTACACACACACACACACACACACACACACACACACACACACACACACAGACACACACACACACACACACACACACACACACACACACCAGAATGACACGTGCAGGTAGGAGAAGCCATGAAGATGCGCACCCCATGTACAGAGACTTGCAGCTGCCGTGAGCTTGAATCTGACATTAGCCAAAGCTGCATGTCATCTCCCACTCTCGCTCCCAACCGTTCCTGTCCGTCTTCAGCTGTTCTATACAATATAAGCAGAATATACCATTAAAATAACTTTAATTGGGGCGCTGGTGGCACAGTGGTTAGTGCACACGCCCCATGTATGGAGGCTGTAGTCCTCCAAGCGGGCGGCACGGGTTCAAATCCAACCTGGGGGGTTCAAATCCAACCTCTTCTCTGCTCTCCAGGCATGCGGGCATCGCTATGTAAAGATCGTCCAGAGCGGCAGTGAGGAGCAGCGGCGCATGATTGGAAAGTGCTACGTCAGGAGTAACGACCTGACGTTTGACCCCAACGACGAATGGCAAACTTACAGTTATGAGGTCTGCAACCCTGGCTTCGACCTGGAGCTGGAGGGGATGTGCAATATGGGCATCTCAGGAGGCATGACAGAGAGTGATGTCTACATCGGAGCTACGGGCAGCTATTTGTGGCAAGGTGAGCACTGAAGGGTTTATGCTGGCTAAAAATCGATTGATTTTCATTTGAAGCAGAAATTAAACCCTCTGCGAGTCTCCTTAATGCTCTTCGAACACTGGGATTTTTTCTGTCTGAGAAACTTGTACATGAAATGATGTGACATTTTTATCTAATCCATCTTTTTATAAAGGAAATGTTCATGTAGCATGGAGGGATCCAGATCCAGTGAATGCCTGGGACTCTGCAGTAAAAGACTTTGGACAGTTAAATAGACGATACAGTTATATGGGTAAATATAAAGAGGGTTTTTTTGCATCATTATCATTGAAAAATCACTGAGGACCCAGAACAATTTAAATGATTTTTAGAAAAAGTGTCAGATTAAATTCCATCTGTGGTATCTCAAAGTTTTTTGTGTTAAATTTAAGAATGTACCATGACAATTTAACAACAACTCTGAATATTATCTCCTGCAGGTTATTCAGTTGTAGAGGAGAAAAAGCTACTGAGTCATGACGATTACACAGTGGTTACAGGGTCTCCCAGGGATGAATCCAAGGGCTCTGTAGTGTTCGGGGAAAAGACTGACAATAGCATCAAGCCGGTGCTCATCATCCTGGGGGAACAAGTGGGCTCATACTTTGGGAGCAGCCTGGCTGTCACAGACCTCAACAATGACGAGTACGTTTGTGCACATCACAGTGAAAACTCATTATTTAACCTTTTCTTTTCTTATACTATGAGACCCTACAAGATGCACTTAATTACACTAATAGTAGGTTTCACAGAGACAAGGATTACATTTAGGAAGGATAACAAAGAAACAGGAGAGTAGAAGTGTTTTGTTCAAACGTGTCAGTGGATTGTCTGTATCTGTTTCTTGTGCTTTGAGCTGCCTCACGCTTCAGTGCTCTGTAATGCTATGTAGAGAATGCATGACATTGATGTATGCACGAGCTCGGATGAAAACCTGTCCTTTCAGCAGCAGAGATAAGGTGTTCGCGATGACATCATGGTGAAATCATGTGTCTCCTTTAAAGCACCAGTGAACCCTTGTAGGATCTTAAAGACTTGTGTGTGCATGCATGTGTTTTTCCCTTTACAGCTGGAATGACCTGATCGTTGGTGCCCCATTTTACTTTGACCGGATGAAGCATCAAGGAGGAGCTGTGTACATCTTCATGAATGAAAATGGATCTTTCCAGAAGACTGCCTCAGTGGTGCTGAAGGGTCAAACAGGTTCTGCATTTGGTTTTTCAGTGGCTGCCATTGGTGACGTCAACCAAGACGGATTCCAAGGCAAGTCTCTGAACACAAAGGCAAATCAAGTACAGACCTTGTGTAAAAGTGTAACCTTGTGTGCCAACACTACATTTGTTAAACCAACAAAAAAAAAAATTCTAAGAAATAATATTTATATTTACTTTAGATTTTGGATGTTTTCACTTCCGTGTTTGTGACGCACGTTGTAACTGGGTGTTTTAAAAGTGCTATAGATTCAAAGTTGTATGGGAAATGGTTAGGTGGGAACTTATGGTTATTAGTTATTGTATAAACTATGTACATGCCTTTATATTATCAACTTGTTTTCTGTAGTCTAGCTGTTGTAGAAAGGAAGTGGTGGGTTCCTTGCATGAGCTTTTTTGACCTCTTCAAACTTTTTTCATTCTCCATGCACCTTGGAAGTTGGTGAAGTTGTTGCCAGAAACTTTACTCTGCCTCTACAATGTTGGACAAATCATTAACTAGTGCTATGCTGCCATCTAGAGGTAGACATTTTTTGTAGCATGCCCTCTCATGTTGCCTTTAATTTTTTCACTCTACTGTTCACGTGTGCAGACCTTGCTATTGGAGCTCCGTTCCACGATACAGGAAAGGTCTACATATGGATGGGAAGCAAAAAGGGAGTCTCAGAAGAGCCAAGCCAGGTAACATCTGATTTTATCGCATGGACCAACTTCAATCTTATGGAAGCCCATTTCCGCCAGTTAAAAAAATAAAAATTGAAAATTTGTTGAAAAAAGTTGAAATTATGAGATAAAGATCAAAATTTTCTCTTTGTTTATTGTGTCCCTTTCTCAAGTGGTTTATTCCGTGACTTCTGCTCCAGGGGCCTGTATGTACATTCATGCAGTCTTCAATGTAACCGAGATGCATCCTTGAATGTCATAATTATGACTTTATTATGTCATAATTTTGAACTATCTCATAAAAAATTTCAACAAAGCCAAGTTTTCATTTTTATTTTTTTTACTGGCGGAAATAGGCTTCCATACAATCTTCATCTTATAGGGACTGCCCAGGTTTGTCATGTTGATCTCCCGTGTGCCATTGCTGCCCCCTGCAGGTGATCGAGGGTAAATCTGTTGGGAACGGAGGATTTAAGACCTTCGGCTACTCCCTCAATGGAGGGATGGACATGGATGGCAATAGTTATCCTGACATCTTAGTCGGCTCACTAGACGACCGCATAGCCCTGCTCAGGTCAGCATAAAACTCTGCATTGTTGGGTGAAGACTTTTCCTCTTTGTTTTTGTTTGTTGTGCTTAAATTAAAAGTTACAACCAGTGCAAGTTGTGAAAATAGTCTTACAATCATTTTTGATCTTTACATTTTACTCAGAATATTTCATTCATGCTTATGCAGTTTTCTATAACTTAGTTCTTAAGATTACAATACTGTGCACTGATACAAGTTTTGATCTTATCCACTGTGTTATAGAAGAAAGGATGGATGATGTTTTTGTACTAATTGTTGATGTCTCATTGTAAAAAGTAGTTGTGGGACCTGTTTTTATCGCATGTAACCTTTTTAAAACCTGATTTCTCTTTCCATTTCTTTTTAGGGCTCGCCCAGTCATCCACTTAACTAGGGACTTCACTGTCGAGCCAAAGATTGTGGACCCTAATCAGTGTCCAGAAAACAAACCATGGTGAGATCTTCCTCAGAATATCACATTCAGAAACTGCCATTTTCAGTTTTGTTTGGAAAAAAAGACTTATTTTTCTTTGTGTTTTACAGCATCACAGTGACTCTGTGTATGTCTTTCACTTTGAGCAATGGAAACAAAGACTTCAAGAAAAACTTAAGTAGGACATATCTCTTTACTTCAAGAATTGATTTTTATTTTCATTTTAAAGGCATACCATGTCGTGTGTTTTTCAGCAAGAGTTTAAAAGCTGCAGAGCGCTGATTTTCTGTGGAATTCTTGCACGTTTTATAACTGTTTTACTTTTAGCTAAATACATGAAATACATGCTTATGATAAGCTGTATGTGTTTTACTTTGTTAAGAGGTGAGGTACACAGTGGAGGCCGACGTGGAGAGAAGAAGCCCTCGTGTTCGTTTTGTGAACAACAAGCATGACACATATACAGATACACTGAGTGTGCCATCTTCAAAATCTAAGTGTCAGACGCTGAGCCTGTCCGTAGTGGTAAGGAGTCATATCACTATACCTTATTGTGTGTGTGTGTTCTTGACAAACAAAATAATATTCCTTATGCATTCTTAATGGGGGATTTATTTACAGCTATAGATATTTAAATAGTTGTTTTAAGTGTTGTCCTGAATAAACATTTTTCTTGTAAAGTCTAATATAAGATTCTTGGATGACTCTACAGGCGCCTGTGAGGGACAAACTTGAGCCAGTGGTATTTTCCCTCAACATGTCCTTGCATGAACAAAAACCAAAATCCACATCTTCCCTTGAGAACCTGGACTCCTTCCCAACCCTAAGCCAGGAGCAGAAACTTTCTCAAAGAACGGAGGTATGTAGCTGTGCATAGTCTATATTCATAGGCTAACTATTGATAGCAAATATATGTATGACAGTTTGTAGTGAAAAGTATCATGTAATATTACGTTCCCAATTTCTTGCAGATTCACTTTCAAAAGGAGTGCGGCTCAGACAACCAGTGCAGCAGTAATCTACAACTGAAGGCCCAGTTTGTTGACAACGATGACAAGCCTTACCCCAGGTGAACTAAGTTTTCTTAATATTGAATTGATCTTTGCCCCCATAAGGTATTTAAACTGACACTGAAACAACACTTTTAAATGAATGTCAGAAATATCTGATTTAAACAAGAAAAGTTCAACATTTTGGGAAATGTTTGTGTTCCAGCCAAAAGTTTTTTCTGGAAAATGTAGATCACACTCTCATTTCTTTGAATTAAATATTAAACTAGCTTAAGGGTACCTTTTCTTATTTCACTGTTTACCACACAGCATACTTTTTGACAGAGCTTGGCATCCTGTTTTCTTATTTTAATTTTTTTCAGGCTAGCCGGAATGTTTGTAGCTTCATATTAGCATTCAGACGTGAATGTTATTAACTGTCATCTGTCTGTCACCAAGCAAAACTTTAACTAAGTCTATTTGAGTAAACATGACAGACCACAAAGGACATTTTACTTGTCTCTACATTTCCTATTTCTAAAATGCTAACCTTACCTGTTAGCTTCATATTCAGCATACTGCCTCAAGTATGGTTTAATAACTATAACTAACTGACTCCATTTGCCTGAGGACTGGCTACATGTCATTTGTTTTACATATTGTGAAATAAGTCCTAACATTTCTGACCTGTCAGGCTACATGTTTCCCCTTATCTTAATGCTAAGCTAAGCTACTGTATCCCAGCTATAGCTTCACACGTAGCGTACAGACATGAGAGGTGTTTGGTTTTGCATCTTAGTCTTTGCTAAGCAGTAAAAAAATATCAAACTATTCCTTGAATACTGATATATAAAGTGTATTTTTTTGTTTTCATATTAATGTGTTACAACTGCAAATGTTTATCTTTTAGCATTAGCACGATATAAAGCTTATATACTGAAACTAATGCTTTTTTTAGTTTTAACCAAGAAAATAAACGAGAATAAATAAGTTTGATAAAGATAAAGATAAAAAATAATATGTGGATAAATAACACATCTCATCCATTTTTAGGCAGGGTAAATTACAGGTCCTTCAGTTTGATAGCAGCATAAAGATAATAAGACTGATGGTGGAAGTGTCTAACACTCCTGACGGAGGGAGGCTGGCTGAAGACGCACACCAGGCCATGCTCAACATCACCATCCCTGACGCACTCAAATACTCAGGCGTCAGGTCTCCGGTACGTCCAGTAGAGGGCAGCAAATTACTGAGAATTGCTTTTTTTCACAAGTTATTTGCCTTGCTTGGTGTTCAATCACAACTGCTAAAAAGTGTTATATTTTTTTTTTCTTCCATTTACATATTTTAGTAGCTTTGCATCCTTTATTTTTCTTACCCTCCACTCATCCTTTTGTCTTTTTTGCTGATTATGTCTTTTAGGAAGTTGATGTAGAATGTACTTTGGAAGGCACAATTATTTGTGAGCTGGGGAATCCACTTAAAGGCAATGAAAAGGTAATTCAGGACACTTTATTTAAGTTGATTTTACCCCACAGGTCTTGGATCTCAGGTTTTTTTCCTCTTCTGAGATGTGTTTGACACTTTCCATCCTTTCAATCAGGTGTCACTCGCCCTTAAGTTTGAGACGTCAGGAATCGATCTGTATACACAGGAGATTGAGTCCCAGCTGCTTCTGTCCACGTAAGAGCTTAATACAGAAACATCAAAGATTTCTTCTTCTTCTTTCATCAAATAACATCACATTTAAAAGCTTGCGTGGCATATATAGCACAAAAGATGTCCCTGCAGGTAGTGCTTAAATTTGGTTTACAAGTTAAAGTTGCATTGTAATTGTGAGTTTCCATAAATGCTCTAACATAATTACAAAACAGCATACTGACACACGTGTTGTTTCTACAGCCTCAGTCAGCAGAGTGACCTGAGGCCTGTGCCTGTAGGCCTGCTGATTGAAAACACCATCATCCCCTCCTTCTCCATGTGAGTCCCTTATCTAACATCTCTCGGCCCACTACATATACAGTAAAGAGGACAGAAATGTCATTTATGCCACCATTGTTAATGTCACATTCCGTTATCCGTCACCCTGACCAGAGTGAGATCTGTGGTGCAATCAGAGTTCGGCGGCACAGTGATGGGCGAGTCAGCCATGGTCAACACCAGTGACGTGGGCAGTCTGGTGGAGTTCACCTTTGAAGTGAGTCACCTTCACCACTCGGACTACATTAGACCTCCAGGATTGCATATGGCATCTATAATATGTGTGGTGCTCACCCACATTTCCTTCACCACACCCTGTCTTTGAAGCCAAACTTTTTTTTTCTTCAGTTAGTTTAATATTGCGGGGGAAGGGACTGTTATGTTTGCCATGGTTTGTGGTGTATGCAAGACCAGGGGTGGATGCTATTTACGAAATACTGAGGCACAGACAAAGCGCTGACTGTTTTTTGTTTTTTTAACCATATTCTTTTTTTCACACCATTTATTTAATTTCTTGTTTCTTCTTTTTTTACCACCAGGTGAACATGATGGGCCAGCGCCTGGGAGACATGGGGACCCTGGCAGTGGAGTTTGAGTGGCCCATAGAAGTCACCAACGGGAAGTGGCTGCTGTACCTGACCAAGATTGTTGTCAAAGGGGAATCGGAGGTGGAATGTAACCCTCCAGAAGTCATAAACCCGCTTAATCTAACTGTAAGGCTCTTTTTTTAGACTTTGGTTTCTACAAAAGCCAGTTGAAATATAAGCTTTAAAATGAGCCTCTTTCCCCCAAATGGACAAATGTATGATCAGATACACCCTGAAAGAGCAGAACTGTTACCTGTGAGGCCAAAATAGAGTTATAAAAAAAACAAAAGCAATACCAGTGATTCAGCCAGTGAAGAACCACATGAAAACATCCTGTATTTATATTCAGCCTTTGACCTTTGATACATGTCATGCCTTCTCATCTAATCTTTCCTATCTCTTTGTACTGTCAGCAATGCAAAGATTTTTCTGTTCTCTCATTATTTATTCAGCCCACACACATACGCACATCAGAAAATGTCCCATTACTGTCTGAAAAGCCAAAATGAGGTTCCATAAAGAGAGGGGAACAGGCTTTCATGTAAAGACCTCTAGCCACAGAAACATACACAGTGGTTTTATATCCATGCTAGTGACTCTGCGAGGCTACAGAAGGACAATGAGCTAAACTGCTAATGCCAGAATGCTACAATTCTTGCAATGATGTACACGTGGTTTAACCCTCTAGCATCATTATGGACATTTTTGTCCATTTAGTCAAATGTTTCCTCTTCATCTGGCCATCATTTTGTCTGTGTTAGTGCATATGGAACCATTTTTTGTAAGAAAGTCTCCTGACAAATTTTTTTTGATTAATTTTTTAATAGATCAATAGAACACTGAGAAACATGTTTACTACCCTCTTAAGTCACTAAGGACAAAAATGTCCACTTACAAAAAACTGCTATAAAAATAGAACAGATTCATATTTTTGACTTCAGCCCTGCTCAAAACGATCAAATAATTATCAGGAATGTAATCCTTTAAATGCCAGAATCATGTAACCAAACTGGCATTTAAAGGGTTAAATTCCTAAAAAATGATTGGATGTTTGGTAGTTTTGAGCAGGGCTGAAGTTGTTTAAGAGATTTATGTAGAAAAAAGGAGAAAAAAATATTAATCTGTTCTATTTTTATATCAGTTTTTTGTAAGTGGACATTTTTGTCCTTAGTGACTTAAGAGGGTAGTAAATTAAACTGATGTCTGAGGGTTAAACATTCCCTTATTTCCCAGAAAGCGTATTTGCTTGCAGTGATAAACATGATGGTAACATTAGGGTAACATTTGGGAATAGTTGGACAAATAACACTTTCTAACCTAAATGACAGACCAACTGACAGAGACAACAGACTATTGCAAACTTGAACTTGAATACTAATGCCTGTATACTAACATGCCTGCAAATAACTAACCAAAGAAAGAGTCAAATTGAAATGCTAATGCATGAATGCTAACATGCTAACACAAAAGAAATGTGCAGCGGTAACATTTGCCAATTTGCACTTAGAAGGAAGAACCGTTGAGGGTAAAAGGTTAAGAGGATTTGAATGTCAGGTTTCCAGCAAAGTACACAACAAATACATTATTAACACACTGACAGACCAACTGAACAGAAATGCCATCAATTTAAAAGCCGCAAACAAAATGTTCAGACAAATGTAAACATAACTGACAGACTGACTTACACACTGACGACTGAAACCTCTGAATTAAACGTTAATGCTAGCATGCTAATAGCTTGCTAGCACTTCAAATGAAGAAATGCTGAGACATGAGAGTATTAAACAATTTACTATTTTAAATTGCGTTTCTCATGTAAGGACATTGTGACAGTAACTCACAGCTCAATATTCACATATAAACCTTAATATAATGTAAAAGGGAACTTTGTAGAGGGCTATTCATGAAACCACACTGATAGAAAGCAAGCGTCACTTTAAAGGCTTTATATGCGATTTTTCACACTTAAATGTAATAGAAATCAAGTATATCCTCTGAAAATAACTGTGAGTCATGACTGTCTACAATGGGTGTAACACCCGAGTCCCACTGTCTGTGATGTTTTCAGAGTTTTCAGAGTCCTATCTTCAATTTGTTTACATCGCCAGGACGGCCGGCTGACTCCTCCCCTCGTGTATAAAAGTTGTTTAATTGAGGGACTAGAGAAAAGAAGAATAACATACTGTACTCACTGCTTAACTGTGTTTCTAGATCACGCTCATTTCAGGTAAATTTACATGCAGTGTGAAGATACGAGCATAATAAAGATTGCTAGCATTAGCATGCTAACACAACAATGCAGCGTGAGTTGTTTTGGTTTCATGCTGGTGCTCAAGGGCGACATCTGCTGGATCAAAATCACATATAAAGCCTTTAACTTTGTGTGTTTTTCCTTGTTAAATGTATTGTAATTCCTCCTGACACGAGAGGGAAGTGAAGCTGTCTGAGAAGTATGAGTAACTGTTAGTGGCAGAAAAAGATGTGTGAAAATGGTCTCAAAGCCAAACCACAGCTGTTCAGAAATACACTTACTTGGAAAAAACATCCATGATGTCGCCACACTCAAACCTCACAGAGCTCGAAATAGAAAAGTCACAATGCGTGCGATCTCGATTTAGACGGTAGAAATGAATGAAACTGCTATTCTGAGAAGAATTTGGTAATGTCTTTATCAAAACCAGTAATTACCACGAGCCCTCTGATGTCATGTCTCTGTCTCCTTCGCTTCCTTCTTTCATCCTCCCTTCTCTCTTTCTTGTCTTCCAGTTGTCAGAAAGGGAACGAAGGCGTATTAAACGGCAGATTGTGGTGGATGAGACTGATGATTCAACGCAGCCGCATGTTATAGAGCCACAGGCAGCCATCACGCTGCTCAGTCCTCGCAAAGAGACCTACCTGTTGGTAAGAAAACCTGTGTCAGAAGACCACCTGAGTTTGTTTTCAACATATTTTTATTAAAGTAAGTTCAAGACATACAGCGCAATTAGGATGCAGTCAACATTTTTCTTTTTTTCCCCAGAAACATTCAAAAACCCAGTATCACTTCTCCCTATAAACAACACTCCCAGTTCAACAAATAGACCTCTTAGTTCAAAGACAAGAATAAAAGTGCAAGAGTGGAAAACTCACAAAAAATAAAATACAATAACTTAATAAAAATAAATAGATAAGCGTGAAAAAATAAAAGTACATTTGAGAAGAGTAGTATCAAAAAAATAATAATAATAATAATACAAAATGACTAGACAAACGAGGGGGGGGGGGGGGGGCTGGACAGGCACGAGGGGAAAGGATCTGTATCGGCAGGCGATGGTGTACTACTATAACACCTTGTCAGGTGAAGTTTCTCAAAATATAGAAGCAGAGGTCTCCAGTGAATCAGAGCACCCTCTAAGAGAGAGACCATCTGAGTTTTGATGAGTGTATTCATATATCTGTACTATGTAGCATAGTAATAAATGAAGCAATTGCAGAGACTTTTTACTCCAAATCACAAATGTCAGCCTGCTGTTTGAGCCAATAGAAAAGTAAAAAGATGACAAGGGACAGAAAGATTCATCTTCTGGGGATGGTGTATATCTGTTCCACATGTCAGGGTCTACTTTTTCAGATCTGCTTAGATATTATAGGCGGTAAGATCATTAATGACCCACACAGTCATCTCTAGCACTTTACCAATAGTGTGGCCTGAACCAGTTTGCAACAACCTACTTTAACTCAGAATAAAACATTCTGAATGTGTGAGGCAGTGAATGTTCAGCTTTACTTTAGACTGTCTTTGTTTGGAGCCCTACACTCTCACCGTATGCAGGCGGTGATGACACATTTTGCAAACCTTCTTTCTCCCTGTGTGTTGTAGGAATGCTCAAAGGGAACGGCCAGATGTCTGACATTCACCTGTCCTCTGCTCAACATGACAGACTCAACGAAGATCTATGTCCGCTCCCGTTTGTGGAACGGCACTATGCTGGAGGTCAGCAAAGCAGCAATGAACACACACATGAACATGTTACTCTCCCTTACATAAGCGTTCACAAAGCCTTAAAGGCTTTATATGTGATTTTTTACACTTAAATATAATATAAATCAAGTATATCCTCTGAAAATAACTCTGTGAGTCATGACTGTCTACAAAGGGTGTAACACCCGAGTCCCACTGTCTGTGATGTTTTCAGAGTTTTCAGAGTCCTATCTTCACTTTGTTTACATCGTTGGGACGTCCGGCTGACTCCTCCCCTCGCGTTTAAAAGTTGTTTAATTGAGGGACTAGAGAAAAGAAGAATAACATACTGTACTCACTGCTTAACTGTGTTTCTAGATCACGCTCATTTCAGGTAAATTTACATGCAGTGTGAAGATACGAGCATAATAAAGATTGCTAGCATTAGCATGCTAACACAACAATGCAGCGCAAGTTGTTTTGGTTTCATGCTGGTGCTCAAGGGCGACATCTGCTGGAATCAAAAAATCACATATAAAGCCTTTAAAGTAAACATGTCAAATAAAACAAATACTCTTGCATGTTCAATGCTTAGTTTTGTCAAGATTTGTACATGATATTCCTAAGTAGTGTCATACTTAACGATAGCAATTTGTCTCACATGTCTGTAGCTTGAATGTGGCCTCACAGATACAAACGCAGGGCTTACATTTTTTGTCTTGCGAGCAAGCTAATACAGTTTTTTGTTTAATCCTAAAAATGTTTTGCGTGTGTGTATGTGTGTGCGTGCATGTACAGGACTATCCCAATGCTCTGAGAGTGACGGTCAAAGGTCAAGCCACACTGAAGCTCATCACAGAAAAACCCACACTAAGGATGGACAGTCAGACCAACATGGTACATGATCATGACAATAATAAGGACAGAGATAAGTATAATCATGATGAAGAGGGTTTGACTGAACTGTGTGCATCTGTTGTAGTTTTCAGTAGAAATAGAACCTGTGGAGGGGGTGGAGGTGCCGTACGAGCTCCCACTATGGATCATTATCTCGGCAGCTGTGGCGGGAATTCTACTACTGGGAATAATCATTATTATACTGTGGAAGGTGAGACTGTCAATCATCACAGCACTGATTGCACAGACTGAAAACTGAATCTCTCCACATGTTTTTTTTATTTTCTTTATCACCCACACCAGCCTCATTATCGCACCATCAGTCTAACCTTTGACTCACCCTCCTTCCTCCATGCATCCTCCTTCCTCCTTCCTCCTCCTCGCAGTGTGGCTTCTTCCAGCGTGCCAGCAGGAGGGAGATGTATGAGGCCAAGGCCCAGAAGGCTGAGATGAAGATCCAGCCCTCTGAGACAGAGAGGCTGACTGACGACTACTGAGGCCCCCCGTGGGTCCCCCCTACAGCACACACCAGTAGGGCTGATGGGTAAAAAACACCCCTTCAAGTGGACTCTCTTTAATTACAGCGCTCAGCTTGGGGGTGTAATTCAACCTGCTGAACACTTTTATGTCTGCTCTCATACCTAACACTGCTTCTTTCCCTGTTTCAGGCTAACAGGCTAACACGCATAGCATTTCTGATCTTTCTATATCACTGTTTTCTTCTCTTTATTCCCTCAGTGTGGGTTTCTCTTCTACTTTACTTGATTTTCCTCCTCCTAAATCTTCCTCTCCATCAGTCATAAATCTCAGCTCTTCTCCCATTTGAGAGTGTATCTTCTGTAATGTCGCCTCGTTCTCTGCTCTCTCTCTCTCTCTCTCTCTCTCTCTCTCTCTCTCTCTCTCTCTCTCTCTCTCTCTCTCTCTCTTCCCTAGCTTGGATTCTTCAAGCGAGCCATCTACTACCGGATAATGCCAAAGCACCGTGGGGTGAGAATTTGCAAGGCTGAGCGCTACCAGCTCAATCTGGGATTCCAGCCTGAGGAGCCGCAGAAAAAGTATTGGATCACCAACTGGACAGAGATGCAGCGTTACTACTACTGAGGCCTTTACTTTGGACCGTTAACTGTCACGCTGGTTTGACGCGGGCCAAACACAGAACATTGAGGTCTGTCGGGGCCACATGGACTGCAGTGCATGGACCAACTCTGGATAGAGAATTCTTTTTTTTTTCTTTTTTTTTTTACTATTAGTAGATTTCACCAACTTTTTCAGTGCAATACACTAAACATATGCTTCAGAGATTGTAATTTGTAAAGTATTTTTAATGAACGCAGTCTTGTACAGTGGACCTGGGTTGCCTTCAAGACTAAAAGTTTTCTATCATGTTGCAGGCTTTTTATGTACCAAACTTTGTGTTTGTTTTTCCGAGTCCTCTGAGCAGAGTTGAGGTTTCTTTTTTCCTCCATTTTCCTCTCTAATCAGAGAAAATGAGTCTTTTGTTACATTCCGTCATTGTGTATGTCTTGCCTTTCCTGTCCCCAGGCATCACTTTGTGGTCAGTGGTTGAAGTCTGTGTGAGACCTACATCAGTCGCATTCAGGCTGCTTAGAATATAAGCAGCATCCATGGGTGAACGAGCATCTTTATGTGAATGTCCATGGTATTGCACGGAGCTAGAAAAGGGACTTTGCATTTTTCACTATTTCCCTGATTTATGGGAATAAACAAAAAGAGGTACAAAGAATAAAAAAGGTACTCATTGTTAAATGCTACATTTATTTAAGCCCCCTGCATTAAGATGAAAAGCAATAGCTTCTTTACCATATGTAGAATTAGCTAACATGTCGATGAGGTACTGGGAGCACACTTCTTATTTATTACACTGTCATGTTTTATTACTGTTAAGAAACTATCTGGATATGTGTAAAAATATCAAATACAGGGAGTTACGACACTGGAGTAGAAAATACATGATACATTTGTCTACACTATAGAAATGGATTTACAATGTAATTGTAAATATTGCTATTTAGATTTGGCTCTTTAAATTACTTTTTATGTGATTTGTTGTTTAACTGTCCTGCAGCTTTTTATTTTTCATAAGACACAGTTAGCCGACACTTGGATTGTTTCCAAGCACTCGTGGCCCCTCTGAAACTAGACTGGACCAGGAGACAGTCTCTGATGGGACCACTGTACTCTGTGTTAAGAGGCCAAGGTTGTGACTGCGGCTCCTACAGAGACTCTGTAGACTCAGCGTGAAGAGGGGAAGGGGCTGAAGCTGATGCACACACTGTTTTCTGTGGTGGCTTTGTTCTTTACTGTGCAGTTTTCATTTGTTATTAAATTGTTTTTTAACAATCTTTGCAGTTGAATTGCTACAATCATTTTCTGTCGAACACAAAAGCAGAATACATGTTTAATGTCTTTATTGTAGAAATGCAGAGGATTCAACAAAAGATGGAAAATAAATCAAATATTTAAAAATTCTTGACACAATTAATGACTTTACAAACATTCATTTACAACATTTCCTCCCTAAACATTCAAATATTGCAAATAAATTACAAAAGTGTAATAATCTTTTGCATAGACAAAAATAATTTGACTCAGAGTGTATACAATAAATATACAAGACTAGATAAGGAGGCAGACCAAAAAAAGAAGGGCAGATTGAATCAGATGTACAGTACACACAAACACTGATGTTCACATTGAGGTTGGCACTGGGTTAGCTACAGTTAGCTACAGTTAACCGTCACTGTCCACTAGTCCTTATGCCTGAGCTCCGACATGGAAATGGACTTTTCAGGCTTTTTTGCTTTCCTGTATTTGTAGGCCAAAAGAATCGTGGCCAACAAGAGGACAATGCCTATGACTAACAGGACCCACTGGCCCGCTACGGCAGCTGGGCTGTTCACACTCATACCCAGGAAGTCCACTTTAGTAGCTGGAGGTTCACCTGTACCTGTAGGGTAAACAAATACAAAAACTAGTAAGATTTACACTAAAACCTCAGTCAAATTGAGGAAACGACACAAATGCTGCTCAAAGAAGAAATCACTGTTCCTACATGCTGAAATCTGCCAATTTTTTCTGCTTTTATTAGCTCCTTTTCTGTTTCTCAAGATGGACTTTGACAGGTCTGGAAATGCAGCTGGTGCAGCTTTGTAACTGGATGAAACTCAGGGATTTAATGCTTCTTAAGTGTGACACGCTCTTTGTTGAAACTCAACATTTCTGTTTTGTAAAACACCATGTGATAGTTATCAAAACAGTGACATGCAGGGTGAACCTTATCCCCGTTTTACACAGCATAATCTACATGAAGTCACTTCCTTTGCATCATTCCATTATATTCTTATTTCTCTCTTTGTTCTGTGCGGCAAACAGCTGTGTTCTGTGTGTCCTACTATCTCTTTCTCTGTGTTGCTGAGAATCTCATCAATCTAATCTGTACATGTCCTTTCAGCAGGATCTCATCAGTAAAACAAGAGGAGCTGCAGATTGATTCCCCCCTCAGCCTCAGCAGAGCAGAAAAACAACATGAATGCCTCTGTGTGGAGACATTGCAACCGCTGTTTCTCTCCCGGGAAGGCGTTCAAAACACATTTGGCTTTGAGATTGGAAAACTAATTTCACACATTTTTCCTACGTACATGTGTGTACTTTAATTTGTGTATCTATGGGGGTATGAAAGTGCTTGCTCTGTTCTGTTCACATGAGTGTGTTGGACATACCGGTACTTGAAGGTTTCCAGTCGTACTCGGGCCACCCGCGAACGTCGTTGTTCTTCTTGTTCTCCTCTTCAAGCCATTTAATGAGAGGTTGGAAATACTCCATGAGCGGCTGGGCGGTCATTTTGGGTTCGCCAGTGATCATGGCCATCGCCTCGGGCCAAGGTTTACTGAAGCCGAGCTTCATCACATCACTGTGTACAGGAGAGCAGGTCAGAGAGGAGGATCCAAACATACATGGATTTAACTGCACATTTTTCCAGCTGCCTTCTTGGACAAACACTGAAATATTTTCTACGGGTAAAGAGATCTCTGACCTCAGTGAACTGACCTAGCCAAATAAAGCTTCAATTAAAAAATGAGCTGTTGCATGTTTGTAAGATGTAATCATGTCTATTCAATAAGGAACAAAAAAGTACAAAACTGAATAACACACTTTGACCTTCAGATTATTAAGAAGTATACTTTTTTTCACTTCCCAACCTCTATTTTTAAATACTTTAGATAAGTACATCATTTTTTTTCCATTTCAGTTCATTCACTTTTTTAAATTCTGAATCGAAAACATTATTTACCAAAGCTTGCACATTATTTAAGTTTTTTTTTCTTACATACTTATATTCTTTGATTTTTCCTCATAATTGTTCTAACTTTGTGTCAGAGTAGCTCTCCTGTGGGATTCTGTGTTTGAGGGTTGAACAGTGAATATATACAAGTAGTGCCATAGAAGTGCTGTCCTTCTACCGTTGGCACATATACTGTACTTATACATGTATTTTTTCTAATGAATTATGAATGTTATTTGACTCAAATTTCTATGTAATTATTGTTGTTGTTTTTTTTTCATTTTACAAACATACCATGGGATTTGGATGCTGGATATTTTAGTGGGAACAGAATCAGTGGCGATTCCAGAGTCTGATTGGGCCCTAGGCAAAAATGTACATGTGGCCCTTCAATCAGCGTTCACCTTCATGTTATGGATAGTTACCATCATCAGCATTTCAAGAGGACACTTTATCCTTGCCTCTTACTGATGTCAAAAATGTGTACGGATGTCTTGCTTTGTTTTTTCCTCATTCTGTTTTATGCTCCCATTTGGATAATTCCTCTTCGTTCTTCTGTGACTTTGGCTACAAAGGTTTTCACAGGAACAATGCATGTAAAGCTTATCAGTGCAATGAGAGTGAGTGCTGTCAGATGGGGCCCTCTTAGGGAGGTTTTGTACTGTAAAATGTGCACATTTGGAGCCACTGCTCGGGTTTAAAGTTTGTCAGCCCTTTGGGCCCATTATTGGCCTGGGGTCCCCCCAAGCAGTTGCCGGCCCTGCCTGTTGACAAGCAGCTCGTCTGAACAGAATCAGTGGTGACATGACGTTGTGTGTACTTACCCCATCAGCTTCCCTGCCTTCTGGGATTTGTAGATATCGCAGGTATGTAGAGGCCCTTGATGTTCAGCAGCTTTGCACAGAGCTTTGTGGAACTGAAACTGGATGATGAAGCTCACAAAGTACCTAATGGAAATTCATTAAGCTCTTTATTTCAAGGCTGAGCGAGCAGGAACCAGGAAAACAGTCAAAACGGACTCACATCAGTTGCTCATAATGGTGAATGATCATTTTTAAGCCATAAAGCACATTATGGCTGTGAAGTGTTTTTATCTCTTCATGGGACATGGGAGTGTGTGAAGGCATTTGTCTGTGCTTCTAAAGTATCAGTTCTCCTGTTTGTTCTGATGAATCATGAAGATTTACCTGACATAGGGAACATTAGCAGGGATGTGGAACTTTGCACCTGGGTCAAAGTCATCCTCAGTGCGGGTCACAGGTGGACACAGACCCTGGTACTTCATTCTGCAGTGTAACAACCAATAATAAACTAATGCCATCCTTTATTACACAGTAAATAACTTTATATGAAAAATCATTTTACATTTTGCAGTTAAAATGCAGGTGAACTTTACCTGAGGTTCCACCATTCCTTGTTGTACTCAGTTGAAGGGATGCGTCCGTCGAACACCTTCCACCTCCACTGATCCATCAGGTAGCCAAAAGGCAGGAAGGCGATCTTGTCGAGAGCCATGCTCATCAGGAAGTTGATCTCGCTCTCTAGATGAACGTACAAAAACAGTGAAATCATGAGCTTCTTATAAAACTAGTTGTTCATGTAACTAAACAGCACTAGTGGTCTCGACCCCCTCACCGTGATTGTTTTCTACTTTGTCCAGGAGGCCGATGCTCTTCAGGTGTCCAGGCGTGGACACAGACAGGGCGAGCACGTCGCCGATAGCCTCATGGAAGCCGGGGTTTGCTCCATCGCGGAAAGACACAGGCTGGTCTTTGTACTGCAGAAAGTACTGGACGTGACCCATCTCGTGGTGCACCGTGATCAGGTCATCCATCGTCACCACAGTGCACTGTTTGATCCTTGAGGTACAGACATCATAACATCTTATTATATCTATATATTATATTATATCTTCCTGGCCTCCATGCACTTCATTTTATTGAAAATGTACTTTTTAAATCTTAAGTATGAATATCTTGGGAATATGGAATATTTGTCTTGGACTCTAGTGCTGCATATATTTAGCTGCCTCCACAGTAGTAGTAGTAGTAGTAATCATTTATTTCGGTCACAAGAAAAAACATTTTGAACAAAAAGGTGTAGGCTGAAGCTTTAGCTTATTATACCTACCCTTGTTACAAATCTCATTATTTAAGACACTACTAGTTTGGTTACAACAAAACAAAACATATCAGAACAAAATTTGTTCCAAGAATTTCTTTCAAAACAAAACAAATGACACAAACAAAAAACAAAACAGAAGTCACACTCACAAAAAATAATCAAACCGACCTTTTATATTTGTTAAACACCATTTTTTTAAACAACAATTTAAATCTGGAAAGTGAACTACACAATTTTAATTCCACAAGTTAAGCCCTTTTACCCAAATACACCTGTTCTTTATGTTTGTCCTTACTTTCGGTTTTTTATACACAACTGTTCCCCTTAGTTCATACCGGCTCTCTCTAGTTTCAAACCTCTGAATACACAGTAGAATCAATAAATAAGAGCAATACAAATCAAACATCTTGAAACTATTTCCTTTTTGATTTTTTCAGTGTGATTTTCTCTACTTTACCCTGCAGGGATGACAGTTACTTAATGCTGTGTATTGAGAGGAAAGATGGTCTTCTACATCAACAAGAGCACTATCACACCAAGACTGTTAATGGTAAATCATCCACAGGTAATTATAACTGAATCAGGGAAGGCAAACCTCCAATGTTTTGACCAACAAAAAAATATAAAAAAAAACAAAAACCTTGATGTCTTTTAAAATTTTGAATTTCTTTACGATAGTTTCTGCATCGCTACTTTACTCATTCCCAAGTTTTGAACTTCCTTCATAAAGTTTGTGCTAGGCCACATTACATCATGTCACTGCAGTTTGTTTTTTCCTACCTGAAGTCTTTCCTGTTGTAGAAGTCCCATGCAGACGCGTGGCACACCACCTGGCGTCCGTCAGACGGCTTCTCCAGCATGGATTTGTCCCAGAACTCCTTTGGCATCGGCAGCAGACCCAGCGAGGTGAAGAAATTGTCGGATTCCTGGAACATT